GGAAGATATGCAAATAAACAATAAGCACTTGAAATATTGTCATCAGGAAATATAAGTCAAAACCACAAGATACCACTTCACAAACACTAGAATGAAAAAGTCAGATAACAAATATGTGGAGAAATTAAATCCTCATACACTCATACACTGCTGATGAGAATGTAAATTGGTGACACTGCTTTGGAAAACAATCTAGCAGATTCTAAAATGATTAAACATAGAATTATTCCTGGGTACACACCCCAGAGAAATTAAAACACAAATGTTTACAGCAACATTATCTATAATAGGCAAAAGGTGGAAGAAGATGGGAACCAAATGTTCATCAATGGATGAATGGATAAACAATATATGGTAGATCTACACAATGGAGTATTATTGGTCCTTAAAAAGGAATGAAAATACTGATTCCTGCTACAAATGGATGAGCTTTAAAAAGTGAAAGAAGCCAGCCACAAAAGACCACATATTATATTATTCCAGTTGTATGAAAGTCCACAATAGGGTAATGTATAGATACAGAAACTTGATTAGTGGTTACTTAGGGTAGGGGAGGAGGGAGGGATAAGAAAATGGTAGAAATGTTTTACAGTTGATAGTTGGTGATCTTTGCACATATCTGTGAATATACTAAAAACCATTGAATTATAAACTTTAACTCAGTAAATTGTATGGTATGTGATTTATATCTCAAAATAGTTGTTAAAAAGGAAACATGAACACTGTGCTAAGGGAACCCAACTGAGACTAATTAATATGTTAATGGTGGTACTGGAAACAGGTCAAGAAAACCTACTTAGAAAAGGTGATGTTTGAGCTGATCTTCAAGGGTAGAAGCCATGTTTAATCTCCTTTTTCTCATTTCTAGTCTTGCAAGATGGAATGGAAATTTTGCTATTCATTTGTCTTCAAATCCTTTGAAAACTTGCCGTGTGCCTCAGCAAGTCTTTCATAAAAGATTACCCTCACATCATTAGACAAAGAAAGAAACATTTTTAAAATCACAACCAATTTAATATCTACAATCTTTTTGAAAAGTACAATCCTCACCCCCTCTTTAACAGTATTAATTGGTGTCAGCTGTCCACTCTAAATGGTCTGTGCTAATGGTATGGCCCATTGAGTTGGGTAACTGCAATTGTTTGATAATCTTCCTGGCTAAATCAGGATGATGTCAATATTTCTGAACACTGTTTTCTGTCTCCTTAGAGTTGACAATCCCTACACAGATAAGCCATGGGATATTTGAGATTCTTATACCTTACACAGCAGGGGGGTTGCTAAACTAATAGCCAGTAGTTGAGAGTTAACTATTGTTTACTCATTTTACACTCATTTATCAATGCATTTAATTCTTCAACAAACTTGTGGTTTGCTTCCTATAGGATGGACACTATGCTGGCGATACAGAGTTGGCAAATAACACGATGCCCCTGTCTTCCAGGAGCTCACAGTCTAATGGCCAAGGACAGACAGGTAAGAACAGACTAAAGGAAAATGCTATATGTGCTTTAGAATTCCTGGTTGTGAGGTCAGGAAAAACTCCAGAAAGGAAGAGACACTCAGCTGAATGTTAAAAGATGGAATATGTTCTTCAGGCAAAGGTGGAGTGTATGTATATTGGATACAGAAGCATTGTACTATATCCTTTTCATGGAGTGGGGCAAATGGATGTCCATACAGTAATCCTGACTTCTGCATCCACAGGGTTCATAGGAGGCCAATTTAACCTCTTTCTTGGGAAGCATGAGAGGCCTTGAAGCTCTTTATCAGATATTTTCCTATCCACACATCCCACAGCATCTTCCAGAATTGGGTAGGATCACCCAAGCCCAGAATGCTGATTATCCAAGGTAAGGCAGGAAACTGGCTCACTTCCCCAGCAAACCTCACCAAGAGCCTGCCACCTCCGTTTGGCCAACCCACAACAGACAAATGGAGTTTGGAATATACAAGCTTTTCAGACCTTGGCTGCTCCTAACTTCAGAGTAGAATTCACAAACAGGTTTAAATTAAGCCAGTCACAGTGTCTGCAGATTCTTCTTTGAACAGAAAGCAGACTCCCAGTCTCTGTTATATGTAACTGTGGAGTCACTGTGGGTCCTGTGTATCAACCACCCTGTGTATTAAATAAACAGTACCTTACATTCATATAATCCCTTATAATTTATGAAGATATACCATGTGCATTAACTCATAGGATAATTCTAAGTTTAGAAGGTCAAGTGTTCTCTTGATTAACAGAGAAAAAAATAGAACTCTGTGACAGAGCCAATGCCATGCTCCGTAGCCTTCGTCTTCCGCGTGTACCCTCCTGGTCAGGCTTCGAGGTTTCTGTCTCAGAAGGAAATAAGTGGAAGGGGTGAAAGGACAAGCTGAGCCTGCCAGGTTTTAGCAGGAAGAAAGTCCCACCCAGGGGGCTCCTGTTGCACCTGCCTGACCAAACTGAGTTACATGGACATTCCCAGCTGCCAAGGACCCTGAGGAAACAGATTTTTGCTTCTGAATTTCTAAAGTAGAAAAAAAGTCAAGTGAAGAGAGGATATTGAACGCTTCTGGGTAAGGTAATCATCTATTCTGCCCATCACTGAACTATATCTGGTCTGCTTTTTAAATATCATATATTGTCCTAGCTGGATTGGCTCAGTGGATAGAGCATTGGCCTGTGGATTCAAAGGTCCTGGGTTTGATTCTGGTCAAGGGCACATGCCCGGGTTGCGGGCTCGATCCCCAGTGGGGGGCGTGCGGGAGGCAGCCCATCAATGATTCTCTCTCATCATTGTGTTTTTCTCTCTCTCCTCCCTTCATCTCTGAAATCAATAAAAATATATTTAAAAAATTATAATAAATATCATATATTAATTTTCATTAGATATGCACTATTATATAGAATATATTATATATAATGTTATTAAATGTATATTATATTACATTATATTATATTAATTAATATATATGTTAAGTATATTATTATATAGAATATGAATATATATGAGTGGATTTAGAGGGATTTAGAGGGAAGAAGTTAGAATTTCAGAATATTTCGAATGAAAAGACACAGCCTTACCCCTTCTTGTTCTGGCCTAGTGATTTTGCACAGAGATTACTAAAATTCAGGATTCCTCAAGCTTGCCATTTATATATCCATTCTGTACTATTCTCTCTTTTTTCTTTTATTTATTTTATAGAAATGTTAAAATATACACCAAGCAGAAAGGATACTATAATGAACCCCTATTGTTTCCTGGTAACAATTATTATTTCACAAGTCTTGTTTTGTCTATCCCTCTTTTTTTTCCTCTGAAATTTTTTAAGTAAACTAATTTTATTTCAGTACACTAAAATGAATTGTGCCCATATGCCTCAAATTTCTTTTTTTCTTCTTCAAGATGAGAAACTCTACAAAAGTTTAATCATGATTTTGAGAAAAATTTACCAATGGAAATATATTATTTGAAAATTACCCTTCTTTCTCTCTCTCCATATTTTGACCTCTTGTTACACTGAGTAACAACAAATTTAAAAAGAGAGAGAAAGGTCAAATTAAAAACTGAGAAGCAAAATTACAAAGGACCTGGAAAGCTAAGCAGAGTTTGGGCAACCCCTGAGGGAGTACCTCTCATCTACTATACAGAGCAGGATTCATCACCCCTTCTCCTCCCCCATCTTAAAATGTAGGTCATAGTCATGTGTCATTTAAAGTATCACTGACACTTAACAAGTGTAGCAATTAATATTCTATTCGGGTTTACATTCTTTATATTAAAAAAAAAACGTTTTCTAAATCTCAAAATATACACTCTATGATAGCTTACTTAGTAAGTACTGAACAATATCCTAAATGAGAAGTTGTTGAAATAAGAACCCGGCCTCTCCTTTTCTTTTAGATATTTTGATTACTTTGACCTTCTGCTACTACCTTATCCTTTAAGACAAATAATCCAGAGTGTCAACAACTATTCCTAATTAAGTGAATACATTATGTTTTTATTTATTCACATACAATGTCATCCATTTGCTCAGCCATTCATTTATAGGTTCATTCATTCACTAAACATTTCTTGGGTCCCCTGCATAACGTACTGCTAAAATCTTTAAGGATGAAGATTCTGGGACCGTAATCATATTCTGTTTTCAAAAAGCTAAGCAAACCCCTATCCTGAAATCCTTTTGTGGGAACCAGATAGAAACCGATAGTTCTCTAAATGTGTGGAGAGGAGAAATGTCGATCTGAAAAGGGTATTTGCAAAAAGGCACAGCGGCAGGATGGTGGGGCGAGAAGCGGGCCTGGCTGGAAGGATCTCTATATGTGTATTTTTATCATCCATGTGTTGGATGAAGCGGGGAGCTGCCAGATAGCTTCTTTTCGACAGCTTGGAGTTACTGTTGGGAGCAGATCCATGTATGGAAGCGAAAGCCGAAAGGCACAGATAAGCAGAGATCCAGCTATGCAAACCATGTTTAGAGACACTTAAAGGACAAGCATCCCAGGTCCCTTCTTTCTGGTAAATTTGGAGAAGCCATCACACCGGGTCTTTTCTCACATCCAGCCCATGCGGACCCCACAGCCAGGCTTGCCGGAGAGGTAGGTGCAGGGCTTTGTGATCGAAGTGATCTGAAGGAGCATTCGTGAATATTCCCTCCTAAGCTCTTGATGTCCCTTAAGGGAAGCT